CCCTTGTTAGGCAAAATAAGTCATGTATTATTCATGTACTATGCTAATATGGTGGAGAGGTGGAGCCTGAGTCAGTCTAGGAGAGTCTAGGGTAGTCAGAATCAGAGTTTAGTTAGTCAGAGAGGGGGGGCGACAGATACAGAGTGATGAGATGGGTTAAGAAAATAGAGAAGGTGGTAATGATATTGCTAGAGAAAAGTATGTACTGAGAGAAGTATTAATTATTTGCTTGTGTACAATGATTATCTGAAGAACTTCTGTTATTATTAAATCTGATTCACTTCAATAAATAAGTTCAGTTTGTATTCACAGGACAAGTGTTCTGACAAAAGTCATTTATATTCTGGATTGAGGTAATCCACTGGTGGCAGCAAGAGGAAAATGTGACGTGAACCTTTGTGAGGGCAAAACACACAGCTGCCATGAAGGTGAATGCCACAGACGGGAATGGGTGAATTCAATTCAGATGATTATCATATCTACTATTGCGGACAATATTTTCATATCAGTATTTGGCAGGAGCATCATCGTTTTCTGAGGTTTTCACTCGACGGGGTAGTCTATGAATTCAAGTCCACTTTATGCCCTACTCAGAAGGTCTCGTATAAAGGGGTAGTGCTGGATGCCTCCTTGGGCCGGGCGTTCCTTCCAGAAGACAGAATTACAGGGTGCAGGCTCTTCAGGTGCAGCAGCTCCTGGGATTGACGGCCTCCACCACCCCAGTAGTTGAGCACACCAGGCTGAAAATGAGATCGCTTCAGGTCTAGTACCTTTCACTATATGATCTTCTGCTAGACCCTCCTTCCAAACTGCTGATAGTTACAACAGAGCTGGCAGCACAGCTGACCTGGTGGGCTTTCCATCCCAATCTATTGATAGATCTTTTGGACTTCTGACACCAGAAATACAGGTGACCATGGATGCAAGCCTGACAGGCTGGGGTGCGCACAGCGAATGGTTGACAGCACACAGACTTTGGTCACAGGAGGAGAGGTGCATGAATATCAACTTTCTGGAGCTTCTGGCCATCTACAAGGCCTTCTGGGCCTTTGAGCAACTGCTCTTTGGCTCATCTACAAGGCCTTCCGGGCCTTTGAGCAACTGCTCTTCGGCCGCGTGGTGCAGGTGGCATCAGACACTACAGCTATGTTCTACCCGAACAAACAGGGTGGCGCACATTCCCTTCACCTGTTGTACCACTGTTATACCTAACAGTGGATATACAGTTCTACTCAGCCCAGTCCTTCTCTTTCTCTTATCAAGAGTGCCAAAAATCCCAACCCTTCTCTTCCTTCTGGGCAGGAAGAATAATTCTGGACTTCGTCATCCTAACCAGCCAGGATAAAACTAGCAAAGATTTGCATCCCTATTTTAAAGCTATGTTTCTTCCCCTTGATCTTTCAGATTTTGTGAACTTCAGTTTCCAGAAGCCCTAAGTAGCATGACCAGTAGCCAACTATTCTGGGATCTGAAGTCCAAAACATCTGGAGGACCAAAGGCTGAGAACAACTGCTCTAGAGCAGCGCTTTCCAACCTAGTACCTTAAAGATATCTTGCATGTTGGACTACAACTCAAGTTGTGGAAGGAGTGACCAGTATAACAAAACCAGGTATTTTTCTATAGTTCCAGAGATTAGACAGGATGTGGTAGACAGGAATAATGGGGCTATAGATGTGTCTAGCTTGATGTGCCTTTCTCAATATGTGAATGCTGGCAGGAAGAACTGTTTGGTTTATGGGTGAGAGAAGAGTTGTGAGACATGTGAATATCCAAACATGCTTAGCATGTGGTTCATGTCCTTCTGGTTACTTATGACACATAAAGGTATAGCAGTAGGATCAAAGAGACCTGTTGATCTGATGACAGTTTTTCTCTCCATATTTCCTTCAGAATTGCCACAACCTCCTTTTTGGTCAACTTCTTGTTTCTCACCAGACCATCACACCTTAGGTATATGGGGACCTTTTCACTTCTTCCCTGAGGAGAGAGTGTCAGATCTTTGAAAAAGTGGAATGCCAATCATGAATCAAAACACAATCCAGAGTTGCAAAGTAACTCAAAGTACTCAAAAGAGACTAGGAAGGGGCTGACGAATGGGATACACAAGATGTTTCCAAGTACCTTGAAAAAAATTGAACTAGGGATTAAAATATTTTAAATACATCTACAAATAAATAAAATAAATCTATCCCCAAAATTGTAAAGAGTTCAAATCTGCCCCCGAGAGACAGTGTATCCGGCAAAGCACTTAAGGACCACAAATACTAGCTTTTAAGAAAACATTTTGGTTCCTTTCAGCAAATTCTTAAGATGGGGAAAAAACGTTTGGCCCACAGAGAAGCTGGGAAATTATTTTTTCATTTAAAAATATAAATAGCTGCAGGAAGAAGTGTGCTACCTTTTGGGTAAAACCAATAACAGATTAATAGTCCCACATTTTCTTCAACTTCACACTTGGTGCATTTTCCCTGTAGTCTCCAGCCTAGAGTTTAATGGAACAACATACCCAGATATTTACAGACATCAATTCTTTTAATTCTGCCATCCCCCAAATTCCAAGAAAATCTAGCTCTCCTCTTAGAAAAAAAACCAACACAAAATATTTTGGTTTTGGTAATTATTAAAACATTACTGTTTCAGTACTCCACAAAACTGTTTGGTAGTCTCTTAAAGCCCCATGAAGTCTGAGAAAGCAGAACAGCATTGCCTGAGTGTACAGGGAGAATAAAACATGTTGGCACACTTAGGTGGATGAAATTTTAACTTCTCCAAAACTGATACAGTAGAAGGTATAAATTGAATAAGGTGATAGTAAGAAGATATCCCCATCTTACACCTTGAGGTAAAGGTAAAGGTTCCCCTTGACATTTAGTCCAGTTGTGTCCGACTCCAGGGCGTGGTGCTCATACCCGTTTCCAAGCCATAGAGCCAGCGTTTGTCCAAAGACAGTTTCCGTGGTCATATGGCCAGCGTGACTAGACACGGAACACCGTTACTTCCCACCGAGGTGGTACCTATTTATCTACTCGCATTTACATACTTTTGAACTGCTAGGTTGGTAGGAGTTGGGACAAGCAACAGGAGCTCACTCCGTTGCGTGGATTCGATCTTACAACTGCTGGTCTTCTGACCCTGCAGCACCGAGGCTTCTGCGGTTTAACCCGCAGCGCCACCACATTCCTTTACACCTTGAGAGGAAGGAACAATTTACTATAGTGAGTTAATATTAGAGCAATGTGAAGTGACTTGATCTTGAGCAGATAATTAAAACTTGTTTAGTAAAAGACCTGCTCCTGAAGGTGAGGGACATTTCTAGAACTAGTTTGCTGTTATGCATTAATACAAGTGTCTACATTTTTGGATTCTTCTTAGGAGTGTATGCTATGGGGCCAGCATTTCATAAAGTATAGCTTTTGTCTACAGCTATGTAAAATAAATAACATTAGCCAGCACTGGCGTACCTTTCCCACAAAGGTCTCCTTCTCTCTCAACAGCCCTGCACCAAGATCTTCCAAAAGTACATCCACCAGCTGGTCACTAGTTTTACCCTCAGACAAAACACTCCAGCGTTCAGCCCCACCAGCAATCACATCTGCAATGAGAGAAAGATGCAAGATGTTAGACAAGACAAAGAAACTGGTGGAACAATTTATGTAAAGGACGACTGTTGTGACTTTCACCACAGCTGCTATTCATACAGCACTTAAAATTACTCCCAGTGCCATAGAAGAAATAAAAGGCATCTCTGCCCAAAAGAGGACTGCAGTTTTAAAAGAAGATGCCTATAAACGCAGGAAGTAATTAAGAGCAATTGCAGAAAGAGATGGTCTGTTCTGGTCCTTTCACTAACTGGCTTCCAGTCTAGGACAATCCCTAGGTAAAGGTAATGGTTCCCTTGACAATTTTTGTCCAGTCGTGTTCGACTCTAGGGGGCAGTGCTCATCCCCGTTTCCAAGCCATAGAGCCAGCGTTTTTGTCCGAAGACAATCTTCCATGGTCACATGGCCAGTGCGACTTAGACACAGAACGCTGTTACCTTCCCACCGAGGCGGTCCCTATTTATCTACTTGCATTTGCATGCTTTCGAACCGCTAGGTTGGCAGGAACTGGGACAAGCGACGGACACTCACTCCGGCGTGTGGATTCGATCTTATGACTGCTGGTCTTCTGACCCTGCAGTACAGGCTTCTGTGGTTTAGCCCGCAGCACCACCACAATCCCTACCTCAGAACAAAAGTGAGTGCTCACAAGGAGCAGCCATTTCTATGCTTCTACACTGAGAATGGTGAGCAAATGAGTCTTTTAAATGGAAGTAGCCTTGAGTTTACAGGGTGAGCAAAAGATAAATGCAGTAGATACTTTTAAAGTCCTGTCTCCTGTGCTGATTTCATTCCTGAACCATAGATAGGGGCTCTGATGCAAGACACAGTTTGTATTATAAACATTTTTTAATGTTCAATTTATTAAAATAAACCAACAAGAAGAAACAAGTCTTTAGTTCTCATAATTGTGCAAATTTATTTGAACAATGGGTGCTACTATTCCAGAATATTCATTATACTTAACATCCCATTGCTTTCAGCAGAAGTAAACACCCAAATTCTCTTAATTTCAACAGCCGAGAGAGTCGCCTAGAGTGGTCTTAGAGGCCAGATGGGTGGGCTATTAAATAAATAAACAAACAAACAAACAAACAAACAAACAAACAAACAAACAAACAGTTATATACGTACATATATGCGTATCTGGGAAAAGCCTTGCTGAACATATGAGCGAACATGTATGACAAAAGAAGTGAATAAGCCTGTCTAGAGTTGCTATATAAATGTTTTAATATACACAATCACTATCCAGAAATTCAATAAATGTACTGGGTGCAGCTTTTTTATAACCAATAGGACTAGCTATCTCATTCTCTTAAAAGTCATATTGCCTCTATTGTCTTTTGCTTGCCCATTTCTCTCTTTCCCCCCACTTCTTATCTCAAAGTCTCAAGGTCTTCAAATACATGAAGACCAGTTGCTAAAATATTCAAGCCTGACTCTAGTCATGTTACTGCCTGAGACTGAGGCAAGATTCCCATTCCATTCCATATACAGAATGTAATGGACCAGTGATGGGACCATTTCCTCCACCACGCGTTTGTTGTTGTTTAGTCGTTAAGTCTAAAGTCGACTCTTTGTGACCCCATGGACCAGAGCACGCCAGGCCCTCCTGTCTTCCACTGCATCCCAGCGTTTGATCAAATTCATGTTGGTAGCTTCAACGACACTGTCCCACCATCTCATCCTCTGTCATCCCCTTCTCCTCTTGCCTTCGCTCTTTCCCAATGTCAGGGTCTTTTCCCTATTATTTTCCTCTATTTCTTTGCACTGTTCATTTAAGAAGGCCCTCTTGTCTCTCCTTGCTATTCTTTGGAAGTCTGCATTCAGTTTTCTGTAACTTTCCCTTTCTCCCTTGCATTTTGTTTCCCTTCTCTTCTCTGCTTTTTGTAAGGCCTCGCCAGACAGCCACTTTGCTTTCTTGCATTTCCTTTTCTTTGGGATCGTTTTTGTTGCTGCCTCCTGTACAATGTTATGAGCCTCTGTAGCGTTCTCCATTCATTAGATCTATGGTTCATTTATATTATGTAATGTTTCTTGTTTGTTATGTAATGGAATGGTCCATGCATATTAATGTTGCTTAGAGGCAGAGCAGAGAGAGATGCTATAAGAGGCGGAGCCTGAGTCAGTCAGGGGGTCAGTTAGAGAAATGTAAGAGTCAGGCAGGAGAGAAAAGCCAAACAGAGTAATAGTGTGTGTAGTTTGGGAAATTTAGGTGTGATTAGCTACTGAAGATATTTATGAATCAATTTCTGTAATCAATAAATCAAAGTTTATGTGTGGACCTGAATCTTTCTGAAGTAATGGTGATTTAGAGATCACCTGGTGGCAGCAAGTGTAAAAGAAGAGAGTGTTTCCCTTCGTGTGCTCTGGGGCTTTAGGGTCAAGCAAGGGGCACAAAGGTGGACGCAACAGCCTCCATCCATAGTTCTTCAGCCACTCTGTCCACCAAATCTAGTTCTTTAAATCTGTTCTTCACTTCCACTGTGTATTCATAAGGGATTTGGTTTAAATTATACAGTACAGTGGTGCCTCGCATAGCGAGGTTAATCCGTTCCGGATTAACCTTCGCTATAGCGAAACATCGCTGAACGGATAAAAAAAAAACCATTGGAACGCATTAAACATCGTTTAATGCATTCCAAATGGGCCGAAAACTCACCGTTCAGCGATGCTTCCTATGGCCGGCAGCCATTTTCGTGCCCTCGTTAAGCGAGGGGAGGGCGCGAAAACGCTGCGCGCGGCCATTTCGGGGCTTCCGGCGGCCATTTTGTCCGCCTAACAGCTGATCGTCGGGGCTTCGTTTTACGAAGATCGGTAAGCAAAACGCTTGCCGATCTTCGCAAAGCGAGTTTCGCCCTATCTAAACGACGTTGAGCGATCGCATTAGCGATCCCCAAAAAGGGATCGCTATGCGATTTCGTCGTTGTACGGTGCGCTCGTTAAGCGAGGCACCACTGTACCTACTTAGCTCAGTGGTTTTTCTTACTTTCTTCAGTTTAAGCTTGAGCCACCACACCTAAGGGCAGCAAAATAATTTAAGATGAACAGGACAGGGTAATTTAGGAAACAAAGAAGCACTGGAGAGCTGCTACTTGTGCTGCCATCTGAGGCAGCTACCACACTTTACCCAATGGTGAGTCAAGTTTGAAACTTATAGCAAACAAATTCTATATGTGGGTGTTCCGTTAAGTATAATGCAGTCTGGGTACACATAATTGAGTTTCCTAGATGCAGAACATTGAGAACCTTTCATTCCCTCCTGTCTATCTAAGCAGTAACAACAACCTAAATGGGTACCTGCACATTTGTCCCACTGAGGTCGGGGTGTAGAGGTACGTTGGACATTGATGAGGTCATTATAGAACTGGTCTCGTTCCTCTGAAACCTGTTTATGTACCTCCAACATTGTGTCATATTCTTCTTGGAGATCACTAAAGTCTTTCTGAAGAACTGCCATCTGAAAGACAAAAGCACGGGAATACGCACAGGAAGGATACACAGTGGGTAATCCCAAGCATTTTGCTATCTGAGACAAACATCAAGATGTAGAGAAACAGACTGGACTGGCAAGGAGATAGGCCCATACTCCACTCCTTCGTGTACCAGGGCTAATATAGGGAATGGAGGGTAACATTGTTTAGCAAATAGAGAGGGGAAAGGCTAGGGAATCAAAGGGAAAAGGTAGGATGGGCTAACACTGGAGCTTTGCAGCATCTATTTTTTGAAGTGCTTGGTTTATTCTACCTAATGACAGCACAAGCCATGAGCCCATAAATTTATGGAATCACAATAGGAAACTGTTTCCCCTTAAAACATCAAAATCTCTTGTTTTTTAAAAAAACTAGAAACTGAAAATTGAAAGGAACATCTAGGAAAAGCAGACAATCCTGAAGTTAATTATTAGTTTCCAGGCCAGTTTCCTCTTAGTACAAATGTTCAGAACAGGAAGTTGGACAAGGACCTAAAGCTCATATACTCTTCTATGCAAAAATGAGCTTTGGATTACGCCATATCATATATCTGCATGATTGCAGTATTGTTCCCTTCAAAATAAACTCTGTGTCTACAGTTAAAAGAAAAAGTTCTGCATAGTGCATATTAATGAGTGATGATTACAGATGACAAACATCTATAAGAAACTGGAGGGATTAACCCCACAGTTAATTGGATAATCCCTTCAGAACAGTGTCTTCTGTGAAACTTTGGCCCTCCAGATTTTTAAAGACTTCAGTTCTCAGAATCCTTCACTATTGGCTAAGCATTCTGGCCCAATGCTTTCTGGGACCACTCCTCTCTCTCAACAGGCAAGACAGATGTTGGGAGAAACCTCTTCCACACCATAAGGTATGTGGGTAGATCCAGTCTTTCACCAATAGGGAATCTCTCCATCTAGGAATGATCAGAAACAGGAGAGACCACCACTCAGTTACCTTTTCAGCCAAGTTGTTATATTTTTCTTCCTGCAACTCATATTCTCTTCTAGGCACCACATCTCCATAGTTTGCTTTCATGGTATTTAGCTCTACTTGAGCTTTGGTGAGGTCCTGGCGTGCCATCTTTAATGCAAGTGTTAGCTTCACTGTGTCTTCCTCCTTGTGTTCTTCAAAAGAAAATGATTCAGAGGTACACACACTGGAACCTAAGCTTATCTTGGGGTTGTATAGTGGACTGAAATACTCCATCAGAATTAAATGGGAATATTACCCAACAGCTTCTACATAGACTTTTTAAAGCTAAGTCCCATTTTTGTACCAAACCACATAGTTAATTGAATCTGACATCTCACTACGCAGAAATATCCCACTGACAACTTATAGGCTGAAATTCATTAAAAAAGAGAGGAAAGACTGTGAAGCCACAATGAGACAGTATTGACTGAGAGTATAATTATAATTTTGGGAAAGAAATCAACAAGCACACTTTTAAAAATGTTGTCATCTACTATGGGGATTATGAGGGTTCCTAGAATGAAGGGAGAAGGGTTTAATATTTCTCAGTCCTGGATCCACTCCCAATGAAATAGTCCTTCTGGACGTGCTGTGGTTGGAGGTTCTAGGAGATGGAGTCAAACCTCTCCTATTTTTCCAAGTGGAAGGAAGGGTATTTTGGATATATGTTGGTCACTCCCTAACTGCATTCCAATTTTGCCACGTTAGGGGGTTCAAGCCCATGAATTATCCACCCATTCTTAGCTGAAAAAATTGCATCTCTTTTACCTTGGACATTCGTGAGCTTCATTTCTTCTTTCAGATGGTACATTTCATTGAGATCAATAAGTAGCAGTTTGCGAGCATCGCACTCGTTAAGATAGCGGAGGTATTCCTCTGCCACCGTCTTTCGCATCTTAGCTACCTGTCTCATGTAAAAAAAAAAAGGATGCCACAGACTGCTGGACATGACAAACACAATGGTTGCACCGTCAAATGTGGAAACCAGGAGTGTAATGCCACCACAGCCAAGAAGCAGGTAGCCTTGATGGGCTGATAACTTTTTAAATAATTACATAGGGTGAGATACCATAAAATATGTTACTCTGAGAAAGTAGGGAACTAAACAGCCATGCTCCTAAACTTAGACAATTTTGGAATATATCCAGTTTAGAAAATCAACATTTGAAAATGTAGCCAAAATATTCCATTAGATGGGGTGGGCAAGATGTGGTGCTCCCAATGTTATGAACACCAGGTTGGGTTTTTTTGTTTGTTTGTTTAACTGTGATACTTTTGAGTGGTCTTCTGTTAACTCCCTTATATCACTCTTGTGGCTGCACAAAGACTCGTTCAGAATTTTCCACAGCTCATGTTTTTTTTTAACAGAAACCCTTCCCCCACCCCATTATGCATAATTATATGCATCCTAATGGTTTCCCTTCAATTCCAGTTTGCTACCAACACAGAATATTCGGTGTAACAGTCTAAAGGGAAAGCAGTGGAATGTGCGAGTCCACAGACACTCAAAGAACCTCAGTTACAGGCAAGCAACATGCTTTTCTTCTTTGTAGTCTCTGTAATTTGCCCTTATGGTCCCCTTAGGTACAGGGGGCCTCTTCACACCAGTGTTGATGGCAGTAGAACTCAGCTAAAAGATGCACTGATTTAGCCTGGATATCAGATATGGCGTGGTGAGAAAGGTCCATAGTGAGTAATAAAGATGTCTTGCAAAGGCAGTGGAGAATTCTATTGCGCTATAGAGAGATTGCAGTTGTTTTCAGGGACAGGTAATCAAGCCAACTCATCTACTAAACAATTGCTGAAGTTATCCATGTGACAAAGTGCTGTTTAAAATTTGATTCATATATACCTTGAGGAATTTATGGAACTCTTTCATCCCATCAGTATAGAAAGCTAAAGTCTGACAAATATCCAAACCATGGATATTAGAGAGCATTAGTTGGATTAGAAAAAAAAGTATCTTCTGATGGACATAGAACTTCAAAATCACCTTGGATGAGGTTCAGCTGAAATATAAGCTTTTCTGTCCTGAAAGTAATAAATGATGGAGCTAAGCCCAAGGGATAGAACTTACTTGCTGTTCTTCAAAAAATCATCACTGCTAAGAAATACAATAGCTAAAAGCAGGCAGTCAGGCAGAAAGAAGGAAGGATGGAGGGACGGACAGATCACCAAAAGAGACTGTGAAGATATATGTAATGGTGCTGGCGGATACAGATTGTAATGACTTCAGAGAGATTTCTTCACAACTGCAGAGTGTAAAAGGATGATGCACAAAGATGCTCAGCTGATGTTTCAGCTAAAGAAACCAAGTAAATCCAAAAAGGCAAAGGAGAAAAGCCTGTTTCTTTCACATGCATAAGAAAGTTAAGTATTGCAGCTGCTGTTGCAGGTTCATGTGAGAAGTATTCTTATCATGCAACTTTAACTCACTGATTCCATTTCTACACATAGGAGTCTTGGATTGACACCTTTGAAGATTGCAGCACATGGGGAACATCTTTTTGAAGAGTAAGTGGTGGCAGATACATTACATGGTGTGTTTTGTAAATCTTGACAAGGCAGTAACTTGAAGAGTTCACATTTGGACAACAGCGGCAGTGTCAAATCAAAGGCTGGCAAATTTACCATGAAGTGGCTAGTATCATACTAGTTCTATCCTTCCTGAGTTTGACTGTTACCTGCCAAACAAACTGAAATTGAGCGAATAGATACAGAATTTTTTCTGAACCACCAGGATGTGTTTCCTCATCAGTGATCCTGCTTTTGAGAAATAATGCCAACAATTTTAGTCCTCTCGAGAAACAAAAATATTCACATGATGACGACCCTGCCATGACACCAAGAATGAAAAGACACCTAGAGGAGCCAGTTCCCATTCACGCTGTCAGGTGAACTGTTGACCAAGACCATCTTGTACTTGGCTATTTAGATTACTTTTCCTACAAGAAAATGTTTGAAGGGCTTCAGAACATTGTAGACAGCAGGAGGTTCCAGATTCCTGGTGTGCATCTGGCACCCCTTTAGGTGTTATGACTCTAGCAACACATTCATGAAGAAAGCATTATCACTATAACAGACAGTGTAGTTTCAATCGCATGCACATTTGTACACTGGATTTTTTATATCCACCAGAGCAGACCTAGGCAAACCAACTGTAGTAAGGTAAGTTGTTCATGCAGGGAGTTTGCTTCATAATCAAGTCTGTGAGAAACTGTGACTAGAGGATTCACGTGAAAGCATATAAGAAAATATGCTAAATTGTAAATGTGGTAGAACTTTGCTGACTTGATTTGAGATGCCAACAAGGTATATTTCTGTGGACAGAAATGCACTGCCCACTTTAAAATTGCTAACCAACCCATACATTAGGTAACTTGAATCAGCTGAAGAGATATCTCCCAAAGGTAAAGTTTTAATTTCAGCTCCCTGTTTCTAATTCTAACTTTAGTCAAACCTTGATGGAAAGGAACACTGTTGTATGAGAAAATGTGAGGCAAAATAAACACTTCTTCTGTCCTTCAGAATTCCTCCTATAGGTGACACATTTTTAAATAGTACTCCAGAGGACATTTTTAAAAAGAAAAATATCAACTAACAAATTGTTGGTTTTCCTTAATGGAAACCAACTAAAAGAAAAAGAGATCTACTGAATCAGCATAAGATAAATTCTCTGGAAAATTCATTTCACTGCTAATTGCTCTGTAGATGAAAAGGGATTGGGGAAATCATTAAGGCACAGGCAGTCATGTATACTGGGGGTGGTGTAGAGTTCCTACAGAAGCTACTGAGATCTTGAAGAATCTGATCAAGGCTCTGTGCAGGGGAAGAAGTATATGCATGTCACGGAGACTGTAAAACAACAACAACCTACTAATATCCCCATGAAACCTAACCACCATAGTCAATGTTGAGGGCTGTTGGAAATGACTGACCGACAACATCTGGAGGGCCACAATTTGGCCAACCAGTATTAGACCAACACAGTTACCTGCAATTTTTGTCTGCTTTGGAGAACACTACATCATATTTCCAGGATGGTGTGGTCTAGAATGCAATGAAGATTAATTTCTACGGGGGACAGATTGCTCATACCATTGCATGAAAAGACGATTGTCCTGACAAGGATGCAGGACCAGATACTTGCAGACTAGCTTGCTTAAGAAATGGACAGGCCTGCCTCACCTGGGTCTCTAGAGAACATTTATCTTCCTTCATTTTGTCAATAAGATCCAGCAGGTACAGCCTCTCCTTCTTCAGCTTTGTCATTTCGTTTTTCTCTTGCTCCTGAAAAGCCAGGATCTGCTGAGTACACTGATCCGAGGCTGTGACCAAAACAGCATTCACAGACTCCAGAGAATGGATCTTCTGTTGCAGATGAGCTAGAGAGGGAGTGAAAGGCAAGTTTCCAACTCACCAAAGGCTCCCAGAATAAATGAGTATTAGAATCTGACTCAAATGATGGTGAGCTTTTAGACTGTTTTAATTTCTGGTCACTTTTTTTTTGCATGCCCTGCCTTTTAAAACCCACATGCTCCCTGAAGGTTTTACCCTGTTTCCCCAAAAATAAGATCTAACCTGAAAATAAGACTTAGTATGCTTTTTCAGGATGCTTGTAATATAAGCTCTACCCCAAAAATAAGCCCCAGTTGAGTGAAACCCCGCCCTCCACCATTATGCAGCAACCAGATGATGACATGACTGTATTTGAATAAATGTGGATTGTTGTACATGAAAATAAAAAATAAAACATCCCCTGAAAATAAGCCCTAATGCTTTTTTTGGAGCAAAATTTAATATAAGACCCTGTCTTATTTTCGGGGAAACATGACACATTAAATGCAGTTGTTAGCTCCAACCACAGCAGACCCAGTCAGAATGGGGCTTGTTGATTTAACATTAAAATAAGTCTAATTGATTTGCTCTGACTACTCTGTTCACAATTATCTTTACATTCACTATGACAGCACTCTTACCTATAGTCAGATCATATTCATTCTTGATAGAAGCCAACAAAGGCTTGTAGGTTGTGAATTCTTCCATGAAGAATTCAAATACTTCTCTATAAGGCTGAGGGAAGGGAAGTGGGGAAAGAGAAAGGGAGAGAGAGAGAGAGAACAAATCCAGTTATTATCAGCAGTTCTATTGTTTGTATATTTAATACTGAGGTTCAGTAAGTCACACTCCAGTTGTATATAACTGGCACAATAACTGCTACTAGATTGTTTTTCGGGTTCTTTGGCTGTGTTCTGAAGGTTGTTCTTCCTGACATTTCGCCAGTCTCTGTGGCCGGCATCTTCAGAGGACTGGACTAGGAACTCTGTCCATGCTCTGTTGCTGTTTGTTGGATAGTTCAGTATTTAAGTTCAATCTAATGCTACTAGATTTTTTGTGTAGTATCTGAAGGTGCTTTTTATATTGTTCGTTCCCTAAACAGCCTTAACATCACATAGGGCTGATGCCAGTATTAAGCATTGTTGGCAGAACCCAGGGATGACTTCAGCCAAGCTGCTCATTCCTATCCTGCAAAGTATCTAGCCTTACCATATACATAATTCAATTCTCAAAAATTTTCCAGTTTATTAATGCAAAATGTTGTGTTTCTATATCCATAATTCAAAATGACAGGAAATGGCCTGATACTGCTGCATGTTCCTGCCTGGATTACCAGAAGAAGAAAAAATGACAAGCTTTACATAGCAAAGGAAAGCCTAAATGATGACAACACTCATGTCAGCAGTCAGGATGGTCTGTAGGTGTGGTTCTCAACCTTGGATAACCCAGGTGCTCTTGGACTGCAATTCCCAGAAGCTTTTACCATCAGCTGTGCTGGCTGGGGTTTTGGGAGTTGCAGTCTAAGAACCTATGGGTTATCAAGTTTGGGAACCACTGGTCCACAGGATGCTCTCTTGTGCTCACTATTACTCACAAAGCGACACAAAGCAATGGAAAATCCCAGAAGCTGATTCCTTTTTTCCATCAGTTTACCACTTCTCATCCAAACACAAAAGAATAGTCTTGGCTGTTTTTTAACCAGTGTGAATGGTAGTGAGCACAAGTGAGTGAAATTAAAATGTGGTGAGACAGTCATTAGGTCTGTCTGGTGGTGTGACTGAGAGAGCCACCAATTGCCCTGGATGGGGGGATATCAAGAAGGAAGGTCACTTTGTCCAAACCCCCTTGAAACCTTGATATAGTCTGTTTGGGCAGCATGCTTTGAAGAGGAGACTTGAACCCTGCCATTTCTACTGCTAAATACATGATATTTTACAGTTCCAACAGAAGGCCAGCCCTACTATTAGCCTGAGCGAGGCAGGTATGGTGGAAAATCCATGGTTCCTCTGCCTGATCCAGTGGAATTCTTCCTACTTTGGACAGCAGCCACTGTCCCATGCAGCACTGCCCCACCATAGCAGACAACTTCATTAATTCCTAGTTGGAGGCCCCCTGCAAAAGAAAGATAAGGACACTGTGCTAGCAAGGCCCATCCCCTTACCCAGCAGATATGAAAAAGGACATGTGGCCATGTCACCTGCTGCTGGTACAAGTTTCTCCTTTTGGGGCAGAGTGAGTATGAGCATTGTTGTTCCACACGCTTATTCTCTCTGGTAAGAATTCTGGGTGTTCCAACAGCATGATATTGGGTGAGGGACAGTACTTTGCTTATTGCCTTAGAAGCTGAGAAAGCTTGTGCTGCCCCTTTTGCAGTCAGACAGAAAGTTATGATTGAAATTGCCAAAGAAGTAGGGATTTGTCTATTTTGTGCCCATAAGACACCTCTCTTTTGCATGACAGCAGCACAACTAACGTTTCTTGAAACAAGGCATGATGCCTACCTCTGGAACCAGAGATCCTTTTATAAGCCTGCTTGAATGGCTTATAAGAACCTTCCATTCCACCAGCAGCAAATCCTCTTTGGAATGGTCTTCATATAGTTCAACAGGAGAAGTTAACATTACACAAATCAGATGACTTTCTGCCACTCTTTACAAATACTGTAACAAGCACCAAAATGTTCCACTCTTGTCACAATTCTAGAACCTGCAGCCATCCAAGCAGGATTTGATGACCACCACTTTCCCCTTTAAGAAGATCCTTGGTCAAGGCTAGTCATAAGGAACTAGGGGCCCATCAGTTATTTTTGCTGAGGTGCCCTAAGGCTGTCAGTGGTAGTGAAGTAAAAGACTGAAGTGCCTGAGGAGCCCCCAAAATACCTGAAAGCCTAGGGGCCCAGCCATGATGTGTTTACACAACAAATTGTGAGCTGCTCTGTAACTAGCAGTGGTGAAGTGCATGTAGTTCTTCAGATGCTCTTGGACTACAATTTCATCATCCTTAGCCAGCATGACCAATGATGAGGGATGATCAATGTTGCTGACCAAGAACTAGAGGATATACATTCCTCATGTTTGATTTATCTTCAGCAGTATCTACATCAGAGCTGCTCAGTATTCAGACCTGGAGCTTCAGTTCCTGAACTTTTCCTTTAGTAAGGTCCAGAGCCTGCAACTCTTTCCGCAGGTAAGATTCCAGATCTTCGAGGTAGCGTGGCTTTGCAACAGAAAGAGAAACTGGATCTTTGATAGTCCTGAAAGATAGAAAATTAAACACTTTATCTCCCATTTCCCCAAAATGATACATTTTAGCATACTTTCCAAAATATTGGTATTTCAGAATAAAAACTCAATTCTGAACACTATTTATAGAGGTTAATTAGTCAGAAAGTCCCAGATTTTCATATCTACAGGACAGAAAATATTACTTAAGAACCATTTATTCTTCCTTGGAAACTTGCTTCACAGATCTTACAATCTTCAGAAGAGGCCTTCTTAAAAATACCAACATTTTCAAAAGCCTACTTAACAAGCATGCAGGAGGTGGCCTTCTACTTGGCTCCCAGACAGTAGAATGTGATCCCCTCACAGCTGTGATCTGTTTCCACTCTGATTTTAATAAGGGAGTCGGAAAATGTGTGTTTTCAGACTGCCATATGATGTCTAACTTACAGTGAAATATTATTTTTAACGGTATCCTTTGTCAATTTTAATGCATTCATTTGACTTTAATGTTTTTTACAGTGGGGTTCATTTCGCTGGATTTTATTCTTAAAATTGGTTTTACTTGTTTTTATTATTTTATTAAATTTGCAAATTGCCTTGAGCACTTTTAGTTCTACAGTTCTAAGATTATTGTTGTTATGCAGCATGTAATAAATACAGTAATGAAATAAAACAAATAATATGAACATAGACACAAGACCCTGGAGAGCAGGAAGCTGCTCTCCAAGGTCTCAGGCAGAAGGTAACTTACCGATCACCTGCTTATCAGGGCCTTTTAACTAGAGAAACTGGGAATGAAGTGAGAATCATCAGTGTGGACAGCATGTGCTCTGTAACTGAACTGTGCCATCTTCAGTTAAGTGTGAAAATATTGCTTATGTAAATTTTTGAATTAAGATGAAGCCTAATTTTCTTCTTTAAATGACATACTGTAACTCTAACGTACTTATTTAAATCTTGTTCCCAAACATACCTTTGCCATTCTGGGAGAGCACATGGTTTTCGGTTCTGGAGGATCACTTGCCCTGGAGTGTAGGCAGGCCATGTGGACAACTGGCTACTAGAGAGATTCTGAGAGATTAAAAAGAAAAATGAGGGACTTTTGTTAGTGGCTTTTGCATGCACCTGGCCAGGAGGTGTATTCCCAATCCATGCTGCCTAAGGAAAATTCTCTGATTCAGCACTCCTGTCAAATCCAGAAGAGGAGTCTTTTAACGCCACAGTGTGATGTGTGTGTATATTCAAACATCACAGCTGGTGAGTTTGTGCAAAGAAGGCATGTAGCACCTAAACTATGAGACACACTGCCCTAGGAGAACCTAGGAAACAGCCTAGGAAAGTATTTTGTCTTCGTTTGTTTGTAACTTGGCTTGTTCTTGAATCCCCAGCAGTGCATTAACAACAATGGGACTTTTGGATTAGCAAGATAATGATGATCTCTGCTGTCAGGCTTGCTTGTTTCCCCTTATTTCAACGGCCAACCTCATGGTAGAATTGTTTAAATTTCCCCATACTGACCTGAGTTATCTTTCTGGCAGGGTATTTTGGGGTGACTTGGTCTTGTATGAACTATTAAAACTGACTTACTGTACTTTGCAGAAAATTTGCTCCTGATGGATGTGAAAAGGGCTAGAACTGGTTTACTATTTTTGTAATACCAAGTTTTATTTGATGTAAACTTAAATAGACTGCAGCCCACTTCATCTAAGGTTATATCATAATACATCTAGCTAATCTCTAAAGTGGCACATTTTTGTTGTTGCAAAGATTAACATGGCAACATGTTATTAATTAATTAATTATACTTATATCCTGCCAATCTAGTCATTGACTACTCTGGGTGGCTTACAACAAGTAGAATAAAACAGTTAAAATTTAACAACAGTTTACAGCGATAAACAATGATACAAGATGGAAGGGAAAAAAAGAAAAGATAGATAAAGTGGTGCTTGGAGGGAAGGCCTGCCTAAATAGCCAGGTTTTCAGTTGGCTTTTAAAAATACCCAGCGAAGGGGCGATGCGGATCTCTAAGGGAAGGTTATTCCAAAGACAAGGAGCCACTGCTGAGAAGGCCCAGTTTCTTGCTCTTTCTCTTCGGGCCTCCCTCGGCGTTAGGCTCCTTAGCCGCACCTACTAGCTAGATCGAGTGATACGGGAAGATCTAGGTGGGAGGAGGCCAGATATTAAGGTCCTAAACCGTTTAGGGCTTTATAGTTCTTCCTGCCATGGAAAAAAAGGAACTCCTGAAAAGGTTGGAGCTCATACATACATGTGTGTGTATCACACACACACACACACACATAAAGAGTACCAGCACATCACAATTTACCACTACATAGCTGATTCTGCTCTCCTCTCTCTCTTCAGATTTTTATATGCATTTCTTTGCAGTTCTTATCCTGCTTTGCTCATTGCTTTAACGTTCTGATTATTACCTACCTAATAGGGTCAGGAGAAAAAATAACTATTAGCAATCAAATAAAACATATTTTCCTTTGGAAAAAAATAACATATTTCTTGCTCAGACCTGTAAATACTGTAGCTATCAAAAAATTGGAAACTGCAGTGATCATAAAAGGCCATGAAGATAAGATGCACCTAAGAATATTTGAGTATCTTCTTGTATAGGAAGAAATAAATCACCAGGGATAGATGGTGGCTTGAAACCATGAACTGTTTCAAGCAACAAAGCCTGAATCTGTCAAAATCCTAACAAGAATATACCAACAAATATGGAAAATAGATTAATGACACACAGACTGCAAACAGTCAATATACATTCCAATCCTTAAGAACGGAGATGCCAAGGAGTGCAGTAACTATAGAACCATTGCTTAAATTTCCCATGCAAGCAAAGTGATGCTCAAGGTGTTCCAACAAAGGCTTTTACTTGATATGGAGCAAGAAATACCTGATGTTCAAGCTGGATTCCGAAAAAGAAGAGGCACTTGAGATCATATTGCAAGCATCCACTATCTATTGGAGTATACCAAAGAATTTCAGTAGATTAGTATATGCTTTATAGAATATAGCAAAGCCTTTGACTGGATGGATCTTGAGAAGCTATGGGTTGTTCTGAAAGCAATGGATGTGCTTCAGCATTTGATAGATCCCATGCATAAATTGTACTGTAAACAATAAGGTACCGTTAGGATAGAATATGGACAGAGTGGTTTCTTATAGGCAAAGGTGTCTGTTCAGTCTGTACACAGAACATAAGAAAAGTCAGACTAGATTCAGATGAAGGAGGAGTGAAAATTGATGGAAGAAACATCGATAATTTAAGATAGTCAGTGTGACAGCCTCCTCTCACGTCACAAAGGAGCTGCCACGTCACTCTCACACCCTCACTTTATTCACGCTGCCACCAACCATTCCCTCATAAAACTCTTCAGACAAAAGTATGATTTTTAAAATAAAAACTTATATTCATTGATAATAACAAAAGGAATGGTAAATCACTATAATAATTAAAATAAAAGGCAATCAGTATAAGAAAGTACCCACACACATACTCTCTCTCAGACCTTCACTCTATATATATAGCACAGTACTACACAACATGTACAAGCCCTAACTCCCTAAGGCCCTAACCAGACCCTATCAAGTCCCTATCTGACTCACACCTCATTCACTCCCCCTTAAATACCCTAGCTCCACCCTCTTATGTTCCACCTCCCGGCACACTATTGGCGGATGACATACAGCGACAGCAGTGACGGGCAGATGACATCACCGCTACTGTAACATTACCTCCCCCCTTATAAAAGTTGTTTTGTGGGGGGAAAGCTACGGTGGTTTTCACCCCAAAACAACTGCACATAAAACAAAACATTGCACACCACATTATAACACCACAACCATATTAAAACATTTATGCATAACTATATCTTTAAAATATACTTACATTGTAAATAAACAATTGCATATTTATATGCACACATAATAATGCAACAACAATACATTTTATACTTTTACACTTAGTTATATTTTAAGAGTCCATGTTCGTTCAGCCGTCGTCTTCGGGATAAGGCGTCAGCAACACAGTTCATTGTCCCTTTGACAACCTTAACCTCATAGTCCTGCAATATTAAAGCACGTTACAGTCCATGGATATGCAAATTTCAATGACAATTACAACTGTCCAGTCCTCTTCCGTCAGTCATTTGGCTTTCGAGGCAAGATTTGAGTCTCTTTTGCAAAGTCCAGGTTATCAATGTCCAAAGCATGCTCTCTCTCGCAGTCATCAGCGTACCACCTGACCTCTCCAAGTCCATATTTCACAGCATTTGAAATGAAGGTGGACCCATAGTGGTAATCAGGTGTAATGAAGACTGGTCCGGATGTTACCGCCTCTTTCAGCTGGATATACGACTGCTGGCACTCAGGAGTCTCTCTGTCGTCCACAGGCTCCTTCATCTGCAACCTCTTCCGTCATCTGGCGGTCATCGGCCACTCGGTTGACCCCGGGATGTCATCAGATGGATGTATCATAGTGAAGCCAGCTCTCTTTCTGGCTTGCGGCTTCATCATCTCATTTGGGGAAAGGACAGGCAATTTCCTCTCCTCCACCTGACCATCTCTGGAGGCGTCCCTCTTTAAAGCCTCAGAGTGGATGCCTTTCTCCACCTCTACATATTGTCTCACAGATACATTCTCAACATTGTTTTCCCTATGGGGAAGAACACTATCATGGGTTACTCTATATGGGGTTGCAGCATGCAGGGGTGCATTTCCAGTAACAATTCTATGCAACACTCCCTGAGCTACACCAGGTTTGCTGGAGAAAACCTGTTGATACTTATTAACCAATGTTTTTAGATCACTCTGCTGTTTTATGGATAGGGCAGGGCTGATCTTCACCTCTTCTGGGTTGAACTTTGGCTGACCCCTCCCTTCCCAGAAGGGTAACTCATGTTCTCCTTTATCAGCTACTTTTATTGTAAACAGCACATTTTCTTCTTCTCTATAATATGGCTTAAGGGCATTTACATGAACCACTCTTCTGCCTAAGTGTTCATCTCCCTCAATAAGGTAATTGAGGTCACTCATTTTATGAACGACTCTATATG